TAGATTAACATTATTATTTAATTAATTTCCATCCTGGAATACAATCATAACATATTCCAAATTCACAAATCAAACAATTTGATGGACAAATAAATTTGCCATTTTTACAAATTTCAAAATTTAAATAATCGTCACATTCTTCCCAAATTTAAAATTTCTAATCATCAATATTAGCAATACAAGTATTAAAATCTGATTTAAATATCCACCCAATGTCACATTCAAAACAAATACCATCAATACAATTTAAACATCCTTCTACACAAGAATATTAACAAATAAAACATCCATCAAAAGCATAAATATTACCATCGTCACATTATTCAGTTTATTCTATAACTCCATTACCACAAGTTTTAATAATTTTTGTGAAAATTTGAAAATCTCTTAAACCAAATGATTCATTAATTAGAGATTCATCTAAGCTAGTAGTAAATTCAAGTCTAATCATTGCATCAGAATGATCTATAATTATTTAAAAGTTTGGAAGATAATCACTATATGTTAGACCACATAAATCAGCATTACCTTCCTAATAAAAAAAATGACTCTGAGAAAAAACTAAATTTCCATCTATATTAAGATAAACATATTCATTATCCCAACTATCAAAAAACCCTAAACGAAATCTTATCATGAGCTGTTAATGAGTCGGCAGATTTAACGTCTTTTATATTATACTATTGTGTCCACATCTGCCATATCCACAATAAAATTATATACCATTGCAATCACTATTACCTTGAATGCCATTTATTATTTACCAACCTTCTTAAAAAGTTGATAAATAAATTTCTAAAAATGCAAAATCAACAATGCTCCATAAAACACAATCCTTTTTTAAATCATCAGAAGTGCAAGACAAACAATCAGGGGGGCAAAGATAAAGAAATAATTAAAAATCTCTAAAACCCCATGATTCCTATATTTTATGAATATCTTACATTTGACGGATTTTCATCTAGCGTGGAGAACATATAAATTAAAATCGATTGGTAAAAATGAGGTAAAGAAATAGTTATTAATTAGATTTCTTCTCCCCAACTATTTCCACATTCTGAGATACTTGAAATAGATTAGTATTATTAAGAAAAAGCCTAAGCCCCATCAATATTTATATTAAAATATTCATTGTCCCATGTATCTATTCTGATAATTATATGAAAATTATTACTTCCAAAATTTCATTTTTATTTATACATAAAAATGGGGAGGTAATTAAATCAATTTCATAACTTTGGTACCCATACCAAATGTGTTGAATCCACCAAAAATTTGTGTTCCATCACAATCAGAAAAATTTCCATAAGCGTTAATTGTTGCCCAATCTATTTATTTAATCAATTAATGTACCTTCCATTGAAATTAAAGTTACTGAGGAAAATGCTTCATAATAAAGAGTTTAAGACAAGCCCAACTTAAAAATTATAATGAAGAATATCAAAGAAAGTAATTTCATATCTCAAACTAATAAAATTAATGTGCTTTTAGCATTTTAAATTTTTTAATATTCTTGATTTCTTTAGTCCATATAATTATTTATTATAATAAAATTTTTTTGAATTAAATTAATTAATATTAGAATATGATATTAATTTGCAAGTGGGAATAATTTAATGATTAAGAAAATTACATTGATATAAAAGCTTTTCTTTTGCAATAATATCTCGTTTATGAAAAAAATTTCAATGAATTCTATTATTAAGCTTTTAACAAAAGTAATCATTTTAGTTTTAGTGATTGGTTTAAAATTTTGTAAAGAATAAACAAATAATGGTATTTATTCTGAGAACAATAACAACCTATTTCAAATTAGATAATCACAAATAAAACGATTAATTAAATAATTCCTCTAATCATAATCCATCCAAGGATGTAATTAAAATAGTAACAATTAATCTCTGGTATGGTCTTTTTAATATAATTAAGGGTTAAAATTTTTAAATATATATTAATATTGAATACAGAATTCCAATATATTCTTATGTCAATAAAATTCCAATATTAAAATTTTTATTTATAAAAGCTGAAATAGTTTAATTAAAATTTTTTTAATTTAGATTACATCATGGTGTACTTTTGGATAATTTTATTTCCTATATCCTCCTTCTAAATGACTTTATACTATGAAGCATTTACAGATCCAGCGTTTGTTACAAATGAAGGCATTCAAAATTAATTTTAATTTTAGACTGGACTATTACAAATGCATTAAATACTTATTCTGATTGTGCTGGAACGAGAATTCTTGGAGGATTTAATGCATTTGGAAGGTTAGCTTAAGCTAGGAAATTCCTTCAATTGCCTCCTCATTATTCAATATACATAACTATGGAATTTTGGAAGTAATTTTAACTTATTGTATATAGAATTGATTCTTGGGATGGTGAGTTTTTATTTATTTACTTGGATGGAACTTTAAGTTTCTCTTCTCAAAATGGGTAATTAGGTANGTATTAAAATCTGATTTAAATATCCACCCAATGTCACATTCAAAACAAATACCATCAATACAATTTAAACATCCTTCTACACAAGAATATTAACAAATAAAACATCCATCAAAAGCATAAATATTACCATCGTCACATTATTCAGTTTATTCTATAACTCCATTACCACAAGTTTTAATAATTTTTGTGAAAATTTGAAAATCTCTTAAACCAAATGATTCATTAATTAGAGATTCATCTAAGCTAGTAGTAAATTCAAGTCTAATCATTGCATCAGAATGATCTATAATTATTTAAAAGTTTGGAAGATAATCACTATATGTTAGACCACATAAATCAGCATTACCTTCCTAATAAAAAAAATGACTCTGAGAAAAAACTAAATTTCCATCTATATTAAGATAAACATATTCATTATCCCAACTATCAAAAAACCCTAAACGAAATCTTATCATGAGCTGTTAATGAGTCGGCAGATTTAACGTCTTTTATATTATACTATTGTGTCCACATCTGCCATATCCACAATAAAATTATATACCATTGCAATCACTATTACCTTGAATGCCATTTATTATTTACCAACCTTCTTAAAAAGTTGATAAATAAATTTCTAAAAATGCAAAATCAACAATGCTCCATAAAACACAATCCTTTTTTAAATCATCAGAAGTGCAAGACAAACAATCAGGGGGGCAAAGATAAAGAAATAATTAAAAATCTCTAAAACCCCATGATTCCTATATTTTATGAATATCTTACATTTGACGGATTTTCATCTAGCGTGGAGAACATATAAATTAAAATCGATTGGTAAAAATGAGGTAAAGAAATAGTTATTAATTAGATTTCTTCTCCCCAACTATTTCCACATTCTGAGATACTTGAAATAGATTAGTATTATTAAGAAAAAGCCTAAGCCCCATCAATATTTATATTAAAATATTCATTGTCCCATGTATCTATTCTGATAATTATATGAAAATTATTACTTCCAAAATTTCATTTTTATTTATACATAAAAATGGGGAGGTAATTAAATCAATTTCATAACTTTGGTACCCATACCAAATGTGTTGAATCCACCAAAAATTTGTGTTCCATCACAATCAGAAAAATTTCCATAAGCGTTAATTGTTGCCCAATCTATTTATTTAATCAATTAATGTACCTTCCATTGAAATTAAAGTTACTGAGGAAAATGCTTCATAATAAAGAGTTTAAGACAAGCCCAACTTAAAAATTATAATGAAGAATATCAAAGAAAGTAATTTCATATCTCAAACTAATAAAATTAATGTGCTTTTAGCATTTTAAATTTTTTAATATTCTTGATTTCTTTAGTCCATATAATTATTTATTATAATAAAATTTTTTTGAATTAAATTAATTAATATTAGAATATGATATTAATTTGCAAGTGGGAATAATTTAATGATTAAGAAAATTACATTGATATAAAAGCTTTTCTTTTGCAATAATATCTCGTTTATGAAAAAAATTTCAATGAATTCTATTATTAAGCTTTTAACAAAAGTAATCATTTTAGTTTTAGTGATTGGTTTAAAATTTTGTAAAGAATAAACAAATAATGGTATTTATTCTGAGAACAATAACAACCTATTTCAAATTAGATAATCACAAATAAAACGATTAATTAAATAATTCCTCTAATCATAATCCATCCAAGGATGTAATTAAAATAGTAACAATTAATCTCTGGTATGGTCTTTTTAATATAATTAAGGGTTAAAATTTTTAAATATATATTAATATTGAATACAGAATTCCAATATATTCTTATGTCAATAAAATTCCAATATTAAAATTTTTATTTATAAAAGCTGAAATAGTTTAATTAAAATTTTTTTAATTTAGATTACATCATGGTGTACTTTTGGATAATTTTATTTCCTATATCCTCCTTCTAAATGACTTTATACTATGAAGCATTTACAGATCCAGCGTTTGTTACAAATGAAGGCATTCAAAATTAATTTTAATTTTAGACTGGACTATTACAAATGCATTAAATACTTATTCTGATTGTGCTGGAACGAGAATTCTTGGAGGATTTAATGCATTTGGAAGGTTAGCTTAAGCTAGGAAATTCCTTCAATTGCCTCCTCATTATTCAATATACATAACTATGGAATTTTGGAAGTAATTTTAACTTATTGTATATAGAATTGATTCTTGGGATGGTGAGTTTTTATTTATTTACTTGGATGGAACTTTAAGTTTCTCTTCTCAAAATGGGTAATTAGGTACATAATATTGTGGATAAGGATGGGCTGATGAAATTTAATAATTAACAATTACATAGCCTCATGTATTTTAGTCAGTTCTCATTCTTATTACGACAAATCTTGACTCTTGGCCAGATGATGTAAGATGATAAAATTATGAAAGGAATCTTGGGGTTTTAGAGATTTTAAACTTTATCTTGATTTGTGCCCTCCTGGATGTCTATCCTGTTCATCAAACGATTAATATATGGAATGTTTACCTTGGATTCTAGTCAGTTCAGCATTTTTATCAATTTAGTCATCCTCTTTTTAACACGATGGATGGTCAATTATTAACGGAGTATAAGATTCTACAGTTTGCTCTAGTAACAGTTGTTATTTTAAATAGATATTCCACTATTTGGTGGATATAATAAATGTGCCTAATATTCTTTAATCACCAAAGTCATAGAATTGCCTTCACATTATTTGTTAAAAATTAGATTCAGAGTTGCATACATAGATTCTTGGGATGGAGAATATTTCTACTGTCATATGGATGGTAATTTAATGCTAGCTTAATCACATCATCATTCTATTGGTGGAGGAATCAGCAATATTTGTGGTTAAGGTTGGGATGAGTATTTTCCAAATTATGAAGTAATAATGTATCATCAAAAATCATATCTTATTATAACTTTTTCTACAAGTTTGAATGAAAATTTTTCTAATGAATCATTTGGAATAAGAGACTTTGAAATATTTTCATGTAATATCTTGATATAAATAGATAATCCCTAGATTTGTGGTAATGGAGTTATAGAATAAACTGAATAATGTGACGATGGTAATATTTATGCTTTTGATGGATGTTTTATTTGTTAATATTCTTGTGTAGAAGGATGTTTAAATTGTATTGATGGTATTTGTTTTGAATGTGACATTGGGTGGATATTTAAATCAGATTTTAATACTTGTATTGCTATTGTAAATGATTAGAAATTTTAAATTTGGGAAGAATGTGACGATTATTTAAATTTTGAAATTTGTAAAAATGGCAAATTTATTTGTCCATCAAATTGTTTGATTTGTGAATTTGGAATATGTTATGATTGTATTCCAGGATGGAAATTAATTAAATAATAATGTTAATCTACTTGTGGAGACAATCAAATTTAAATCTTAGAGGAATGTGATGATAATAATTTAATAAGATTTGATGGATGTAATAAATGTTAAAATGATTGTTAAAGAGAATGTTCATATTGTTTTAGAGGTATATGTTTAGATTGTATTTATGGATGGCATTTAAATAATCAATTTATTTGTGAAACTTAATGTGGAGATTCTTAGATTGCTTTAATTTCTTATGAAGAATGTGATTATTCAAATAGTAATAGTAATTAAGTTGATTAATGTATTGAATGTAAATTATAATGTTGTCATTATTGTGATGGTTGCATTTATGGAATTTGTTATAATTGTGAATATACATTTACATTGATTGATTAAATTTGTACTCCTGTATGTGGAGATGGATTAATTACAATTGAATATGAATAATGTGATGATATGAATTTAATACCTTATGATGGTTGTTATGAATGCAAATATTAATGTAGATAATATTGTAAATTATGTATTAAAGGAATTTGCTATGATCATTGTGAATATGGATTCTATGAGTTTGATAATTAATGTATAACCAAATGTGGAGATGGTATCATTGCTGGATAAGAAGATTGTGATGATTTAAATGACAATCAAACTGATGGATGTCATAATTGTTAATTTCATTGTCCAGATCATTGTGATTAATGTATAGAAGGTAAATGTAAATTATGTGAACCTGGATATGCTTTGATTGAATAAATGAACATCTGTAAATCTTATTGTGGGAATGGTATGATATCTTTAGATGAAGAGGAATGTGATGATGAAAATAACGAAGATGGGGATGGATGTTCAAGGCTTTGTAAGATTGAAACGGATTATCAATGTAAAAATTTTGAATATAGTTTCTCTTAATGTACTTACTCTAAACAACCAAGATTTTATCTTTAATTTAGAGAAGAAAGAGATTAAAACTAATATGTTACATTACTATTTACTTAATAAGTTAAGAATATAGAAAAAGACTCATATTCTAAATATATATAAATGAACCTAGTTGATGTAGATATTAATATCTACAAACTAAACTTAATTATAATCTAAGACGCCTATGATTATGTCACTAATGTAGAGTATGTTGTTGAAATCTAAATAAATGCAACTTTAGAGTATCGTCCCATTTTAGAAATTACTTTAGATTAATAGTTGTACAATTCAGAAGATGCTATTCTTGTCAATCAATATGATCAAATATAATTGAGATAACCAAAATACTTAGACGATTAAAAATTATAAGCAGCAGCTACTTTAACTTAAGCAAACGAATATATTATGAATTCAATGGGTGGGATTGGTATACTAGCTTTCTTTCTAGGAAATTCATTTATTTTTAGTAGCATTCTCGAAGTCTTACAATAATAATCTTATTTAAGATTTATTAATGTAATATTTCCCTTCAATTTATTTATCTATTTTGAATCAAGTAACATAATAACGATTAAACCCATTTTATAATTTTTTCGAATTGATTCTATTTAAACTCCAATATATGATTCTATATACATAAAATCTTACGAAAAGTTGGAATATTATGAAATTAATGCTGACCTTTTGACCAATATATAGACTTAAGTGTTTCTTCTTTTAATCTTATTTATCATTTATTTTTCATGTATTTCAATTCTTCATTTGATTGATACAACCAAAATTGAATCTTTAGTTTATTTAGGAAGATTTGGAGTTAAATTACTCTTTTAAATAAAAAAATAATGCTTAAATTATAAAATTGAATTTCGAAAAGTAGGCTTAAAGACATTTTTAATAGCAAATTGCTGGGATATTCTTTTCACTTGTTTTTTGTAATTCAAATCTTCATAATAAAGTACTAATTTTAGATCCTATATTTGTTTAATCTTAGCATACTTAATATTGTATGGATGCTTAATGATACTTGCCTAATTTGTTAATAAGAAATCTTTTATAAAGGAATGCTTTATAAATTATTGGATTTCAAAGATGGATTTATTTTTTTCATTAAAAAAATTAATTTTTATCTTTATCCTAGTTTGCTTTTAGAAGAACCAATAAATATAAACAATTTTACTAACATTTGTATGTTAAATATATCTCAGTTATGTAATTAAATTTAAACCATTCAAAAATCAATAAGATTTTTTTAATCATATTATGATGGAAGGAAGTGCGTTTATTTTTACATTTTCTTCTGCTATATATTGGAGTTAGACGTCTAATTTAATTAGTTATGACAAATAAGTTCTACTTGGCTGGTTACATATTATAATGTTGCTATTTGTGCTATTTGTAAATTTACTTCTATAAGTATTTGAATTAGTTTTGCAAATAAAATTTTTAATATAAAAAAAACTAAAAAAATAAAACTAAGAAAATTTATACAATTCTAATCCTTATCCATTAACTAATCTTATGGAATTTAAATTGTGATTAATAATTTAAAAATAATAATTGTAAATCTAATCATAAAATAAATAACATTTTTATTAAATCATAAATTTTTTCAGGTTATCATTGAGCTTGTACTTCTATTCATATTCTATCATGTGTCGACTATTCACATTTTTTATTTTACCTAGTCCAGAATGTCTTTTTACAGTTAGCAATTTAAATGGTCTAATTTTTTTATTATCATTATTTAATTTTTTGAACTTACTTTTTATGAAATGGACTCAATATTATTGCACCCTTTAATTTAAGATATGTTTGATTTGTTAGAAACAATGATAAATATAATTTTAAAGTTATTTCCAATCATAGAGTATAATACAATTTTAGTTTAAATTACTGCTTAATATCTTCCAAATCTTTAATTATGATACAAAAGATGAAAGTTTTTGAAATGAAATCATTATGAAAACTAAAACACGTATACTAATTAGTACATTTCTTATATTAAAGAGTTGCAAATTAAAATCCAATAAAGTGAGCAGGACTTGCATATCTTATTGTAGAGTACTAGTTCGAAAAATTTAAATTTGTATCTGAAATCAAGATTTTCTTATGGATTATTTCAATACTAAATAGAAAAGCATGATTTAATTCACTTTTATTAGCTCATCAGGCGATTGTTTATTTCCCCTGACCATAAGCAACTAAAAAAAAACAGAGAAATCATTCTTCTATTCATAATAGATTAATTAATAATTTTACAGTTAAAAGAGGAAAACGAAAATATCCATTTGTTAGAAAATTTTATGAAATTAATAATTGTGATATCAATCCTAAATTTATATATTCTATTAATTATATATAACAAAAGTAATCATTTTAGTTTTAGTGATTGGTTTAAAATTTTGTAAAGAATAAACAAATAATGGTATTTATTCTGAGAACAATAACAACCTATTTCAAATTAGATAATCACAAATAAAACGATTAATTAAATAATTCCTCTAATCATAATCCATCCAAGGATGTAATTAAAATAGTAACGATTAATCTCTGGTATGGTCTTTTAAATATGATTAAGGGTTAAAATTTTTAAATATATATTAATATTGAATACAGAATTCCAATATTTTCTTATGTCAATAAAATTCCAATACTAAAATTTTTTATCTACAAAAACTGAGATAGCTTAATTAATTAAAACAAATTTAATTTAGATTACATCATGGTGGAGTTTTGCATAATTTTTTTTCCTATATTTTCCTACTAAATGACTTTATACTATTAAGCATTTACAGATCCAGCATTCGTTACTAATGAAGGTATTCAAAATTAATTTTTATTTTAGACTGGACTATTACAAATGCATTAGATACTTATTCTGATTGCGCTGGAAGGAGAATTTTCGGAGGATTTGATGTATTTGGAAATTAGGCTTAAGCTATGAAACTCCTTCAATTGCCTCCTCATTATTCTATATACATAACTATGGAATTTTGGAAGTAATCTACCTTGTTTTATGTAGAATTGATTCTTGGGATGACGAGTTTTTATTAATTTTCTTGGATGGAATTTTAAGTTTCTCTGCTTAATTTTCGTAATTAGGTACATAATATTGTGGATAAGGATGGGCTGATGAATTTTAATAATTAACAATTTCACAGCCTCATGTATTTTAGTCAGTTCTCATTCTTATTACGACAAATCTTGACTCTTGGCCAGATGATGTAAGATGATAAAATTATGAAAGGAATCTTGGGGTTTTAGAGATTTTAAACTCTATCTTGATTTGTGCCCTCCTGGATGTCTATCCTGTTCATCAAACGATTAATATATGGAATGTTTACCTTGGATTCTAGTCAGTTCATCATTTTTATCAATTTAGTCATCCTCTTTTTAACACGATGGATGGTCAATTATTAACGGAGTATAAGATTCTACAGTTTGCTCTAGTAACAGTTAATATTTCAAATAGATATTCCACTATTTGGTGGATATAATAAAAGTGGCATATCTTCATAGATCACTAAAACCATCTAATTGCCTTTACATTATTTGTTAAAAATTAGATTTAGAGTTGCGTATATAGATTCCTGGGATTCAGAATATTTCTACTGTCATATTGATGGGGATTTAATATTAGCTAAATCACACCATTTTTCTATTGGTGGAGGAATCAGCAATATTTGTGGTTAAGGTTAGGATGAATATTTTCCAAATTATGAAGTAATAATGTATCATCAAAAATCATATCTTACTATAAGTTTTTCTACAAGTTTGGATGAAAATTTTTCTAATGAATCTTTTGGAATAAGAGACTTTGAAATATATTCATGTAATGTTATATATTGATATTATAAGATGATTCATATTGTGGTAATGGAGTTATAGAATAAACTGAATAATGTGACGATGGTAATATTTATGCTTTTGATGGATGTTTTATTTGTTAATATTCTTGTGTAGAAGGATGTTTAAATTGTATTGATGGTATTTGTTTTGAATGTGACATTGGATGGATATTTTAATCAGATTTTAATACTTGTATTGCTATTGTAAATGATTAGAAATTTTAAATTTGGGAAGAATGTGACGATTATTTAAATTTTGAAATTTGTAAAAATGGCAAATTTATTTGTCCATTAAATTGTTTGATTTGTGAATTTGGAATATGTTATGATTGTATTCCAGGATGGAAATTAATTAAATAATAATGTTAATCTATTTGTGGTGATAATGAAATTTAAATCTTAGAAGAATGTGATGATAATAATTTAATAAGATTTGATGGATGTAATAAATGTTAAAATGATTGTTAAAGAGAATGTTCATATTGTTTTAGAGGTATATGTTTAAATTGTATTTATGGATGGCATTTAAATAATCAATTTATTTGTGAAACTTAATGTGGAGATTCTTAAATTGCTTTAATTTCTTATGAAGAATGTGATTATTTAAATAGTAATTAATTTGATGATTGTTTTGAATGTAAATTATAATGTTGTCATCATTGTGATACTTGTATTTATGGAATTTGTTATAATTGTGAATATACATTTACGTTGATTGATTAAATTTGTACTCCTGTATGTGGAGATGGATTAATTACAATTGAATATGAATAATGTGATGATATGAATTCAATACCTTATGATGGTTGTTAT